AATACTTTTATTCAGCATGGATGCAGTGGTACAGTCCTGATATTATGTTGATGATAATAACGAACTGTTTCTTGAGCACCAAAATCAGCATATTAGAATGATTTCTGAACGATCGTGACACTGAAAATTGGAGAAATGGCTGCTGAAAATTCAGCTTTGCCATTACATGATTAAATTACATTAAAATGAAATATATATCAAGTTTAAAAAAATGTATTTTAATAATATTCCTCATTATTTCAGTTTACTGTATTTTGATTAAACAAATGCAGCCCTGGCGAGCGTAAGATACTTATTACCGACCTCAAAGTTTTTAATGATATTGTAGTTAGTTTAGTCAATAATCAAGAATATAGTAATGAGCAAGCTAAACAGAATTACACTGGAGTACTGGAGCATCCTGACGTCTTGAAAGACCCTGTCGCGCCACAAATAGGGTCCTCTTTGGTGAGATGAGAGTCTGAGAAAAGAACAAATAAAATACACTTTAGCTGTCAAGAGTGAGTGTTTGACAACAAACATTTTGATATAAAAAAAATATATTTTAATGATCTCTTTATGAGGGGAAAATGAATTTACATAGCCTCGGATTATTCTAAAACTACTCATGTTCGCTGAAATTGTGCCAGGTCGACTACATAACATGGTTTGTGCTTTCGGGGGAGTGTTTTCAATGTAACCATTTCCGGGGATTCCGAACCATCCTGCGCATGCGTAAGATCATACACACGTGGGGCATGTTTCTGAATTTGTATTTGGTAAAGTTATAAGGGATATTGTATATAGACTAGTGTACATTTCAAGGATTTTATCCGAATGAGTTTGTAATTTCTAAGGAGGTACACAAATCCCTTTATTCCATTCTCAGCTGATGAAACGCATCACAGCAGTTTCGACTGACGTTTTTGATTGAGCGAGGTAAGTTAAATATCCCGTACAAGTCAAACGAATAATGGCATGTTTATTAAATGTATTAATTGACGTATTTGTCATTGTTGTCATAAAATACTGCATAGGTTTCACAGCACTCTGACTTTGCTAAAATCGTTATATTTTGTTTTGAGCTGTTTAGTGACGACATGTTACATATCTGCATCAAATGTCTGTATTTATTAATTTATTGTTAGTTTATTTATAATAGGAAACATGGCCAGCCTTGCTGCGAAGTATGATTACCTAGAGAAGCTGACCCGTAAAGTATGCGTGTCTCACAACCGGGAGCCAAAGAAAAGACCCTATGGTAAAGTTCTGGGATTGTTAATTGCATATGAATTAATTAGTAAATACTGAACAGACACCTGCAGTAGTTATGCCATTTTTATTGCTGGTTTATTCATTCATTCATTCAAAGTTTGTATTTTCAAAGTCAGTAGTTAAAAAAAACTAATTATTTAAATATAATAAAGTTGTATTAATTCCCCTTTTAGTTCCATTCCGAGGCAGTGGGGTAAATGGTGCTCCTCCAACAAAGAAAAAGAAGAACAATCAAAAGCCAACAAAAGGAGATCACATGAGTGCAAACAAAAATAACCCAGTTCTAAAGAGCACTCGGCCTGCAGCACCTCCAACTCAGAGAAAAACTGTCCAGAATGGGATTTCAGAGACACAAAAGAAGCCTGAGGGTAAAAAGTAGTTTGTAAAGAGATTAGTAGTGTATCCAGCATGCTTTATTCTTGTTGACTAAAATGCTATTGCATTTTTACTGATTCATTCCTATTAGGTGGAACATCACAAGAATTTGATGCTGTAGACATTCTTCGTCAGAGACTTCACCAGAAGATTGAGGAATCTCGAGGACAGGTACATGCTCAAGTTGGACTAAAAGATCAAAATTGGCTAAAATGTTATCTCGGTCGAAGGATTGTTAAATGTTTGAATGCTGATATGCTGAATCACTTTACTTCAAGGATAGTTCACCCAAAAACAAAACTTATGTCATCACTTATGATCTTCTGCGGAACACAAAAGAAGATATTTTGAAGGATGTGGGTAACCAAAGAGTTTCTGGTCCCCATTGACTTCCAAATAATTTTTTTTCATACTACGGAAGTCAGTGGGTACCAACAACTGTGTTTGTTTGGCCTCATTCTTTAGAATATCTTTTTTTGTGTTAAAAAAATATTCAAAAAGAATAACAAAACTCATACAAACTGAGGGTGAGGTTTAATTGTATGGGTCAGAGAAATGAATTGCTCATAAATGCTAAATTATGACTGTTTTGCTGTAAAAAAAAACAAGATAAAGTAAAAGTATTATATGGAAAAAGTGAAAATTATTATATCATTCCTTTAAGAATTCTTAGGCCAAGCCTATGTCTGTTTTTTCCAGGGCCCTCCTAAAGATCCCTCCTCTGAGGAGATAAAGAAGAAACGAGAGAGACGAAAACAAGAAAGGGAGCGTCGGAAGAGGAAAAGAAAAGAGTTTCGAATTAAAAAGTTAGCAGATGCTGCAGCTTTGCAGGCAGGAGAAGAGGACAAAGAGACAGCAAATCACCAACCACAAGGCACTTCTACATCAAGCGCTCCTGCCAAAGAGGAGCAGAGCTTCATAGTCTTCAACAAGATGGAGGTTGGAGAAGACTATGTGGACAAAGGGACAAAGCTGATGGAGAAGAAAAAGAAAGTGAAAGGAACGCTGACTCCACTCACTGGCAAGAACTACAAACAGCTTTTAACACGCATTGAGGCGAGGAAAGCTCACCTGGAGCAGCTTAGAGAGAAGGATGAAGGGAAAGCAAAAAAAGAGGAAGAGAAGATGAGGTGGAGCAATGTTCTCTACAAAGCTGAAGGCATGAAAATCAAAGACAACGAGGAACTCTTGTGTGCATCATTGAAAAAGAAGGAGAAAAGGAAGGCTCAGAAAAAAAAGAAGTGGGTACAGAGGAGCCAGCAAGTCGTGGAGAAGATGCAAAAGAGGCAAGACAAGCGGAGAAGGAATATTAAGAAACGCAAGGATGCCAAGATGGAGAAACGCAAACAGAGGGCAAGGAAAAAGGGTTGTGTACTGCCTGAGGATCTCAAGAAGGCCAGCTTATAGGAAGAAAAGAAGTGAGAAATGGTAAAAGGCAGAAAGGATCATGCTCATGGGGACTTCGCCTTGTGTTTAAATTTCACAAAATTTCATTGGGATGAAATGTTTTCTTCTGTTGTCACTTTTAAAATGTCAACTTTATAAAGAGCGTATTTTGTGTCCATATTTTGTGTTTTTATTCTGTCAACCCAAGGTTGGGCATTTATGTACATTCGTGCATTTTGCAGACACTTTTATCCAAAGTGACTTACAATAGATGTACATAACCAATTTGTCACAGAGCCAACAGTTCATGGAGTACTATAAAAGGTATATTAGAATGTTAGTTGAGGAAACAAGCTTTTTTCCTCTTTGTCTGTTCGGCATATTTAAAATTGTGCAATAAGAATGGTTACTACAAATATATACTAGGGATGGGCGTATCGATACGAAGTATCGATATATCGATACTGACGCGAGTATCGAAATACTACAACGTATACTGGCAATTAGCGTTAGCAGTCACTGGCCCTGCCCACAGCGGAAGTACTCTTACAAAAATAAAGAGTGCTGCCTGGAGGAGGAGCTCTGCTCGCATTTTCATTGGCTCAGACTGAGGAAGGCGCTTGAGAAGTCAATGTGTGACGTCTTTAACAGCTGGGGGAAGTAAATGAACAAGGTTTGGTGCAAAACAGAAAGTTTTGTGTATTCGTTTTTTAGATTACAATATGAAATCGACATTTGCCACAGTATTTTATGCTTTGTTTGTCTCTTGAATCTCTAAATCCCAAGGACAAGACTGTCATGTCACTGAATTATCGACTGTCAGACATTTAAAGGTTGACCGTTCAAATGCTAGAGATTTGCCGTGATTCTAATCTCTTACTATGTGTTACTGATTTACGGCTTTAGCAGAAATCCTGCAGTAAAGGTGTTTTGAAACACTGGAATGTGGAGAAGAGCGGCGGTAAATGGACCTTGGCTGTCAATCAGATTAGTAAACGCAGGTTTTCATGATAAGGTTTGAGATATTTCACACTAGATCGCTACACCTGTATGCACGATCAAGCTGCGGTTTAGTAATTTGCCATTATTTTTTCTTATTGCATGATTTTCTTCTTGATTACGCAGGGCAATATGTCTCGTAAGTTGCACGCGAGAAGAATCGAAGGAATTGACAAGAATATATGGTAATTAAGCTTCATGGTCTATAAATCAAGTGAAAGTATAAATGGGTAGACTGTTAGTCATTTAACGTTAGTGCTTATTACACGGCGCTTACCAAATAAGTAAATAAATGGATATAAAATAGCCTATTGAGTTATTTATTATTATTATTATCATTATGGCTAAGTTTCCGCTAGAAAGTCCGTTATAACATAGCAAGACGAACACTGCAAAATATACTTGTTTAATTACCTAATATTTTAAAATATCTTAGTATTTTAAAAATGTATTTTTCCAATGTTCGGCTTGTTGCTTTAGCAATAGTTTTCCTAGATATAATCGACATTTTTTAGTTGTATTATTATTATTATTATTATTATTATGCAACCAATGTAATCTACTTAGCGGACGTTTTTAGCTATGAATGTCTTCCTCTAGTTTAAGTTCTCTCTCATCTTTGTGTTTTTGGCGGGTTTTTTTGTTTTCGTTTTATTGCTTTAACTACTAACGTTTTTTTTATTTTTTTATTTACTCAACATGAATAATACAATTAACAATGTCCTCCATTTTTAAAATTGGTAATCGCAATAACAGTTTTGATCGCAAGATGGCGCCAATTAGCAATTCTAGTATTTCAGTGAGCTGTGTAATAAGAATAATTTATTATTCTTAAGTAAGTAAATATAAGTAAATGAACTCAAATTTTTGCTAATTTTAATGTTTAATACTGCATGTTATTCCTTTTGTGTATGTCAACTGTAGGGTGGAATTCACTCAGCTGGCTGCTGACTATAAGGCTGTGAACCTGGGTCAGGGGTTCCCTGATTTCTCCCCTCCTAGTTTTGTTCAGGAGGCTTTCTGCAAAGCCCTGAATGGAGGTTTCTCTATGCACCAGTACACGCGTGCTTTTGTAAGAAATTAAAAATACAAGTCCCTTGCTGGCTTTCAATTTGCAGTTTGTTTAGTAAATGATCAACTACCACTGCATAATGTAATAAGTATATAAGTAAAGCTTTGCTAAACAATCTTACAACATGCTGTCATACAGGGCCACCCAAATCTTGTGAAGATCCTGGCCAAGTTCTTCAGTAGGATTGTTGGCCGGGAAATAGACCCAATGGAGGATATCTTGGTTTCTGTAGGAGCATATCAAGCACTTTTCTGTACCTTCCAGGCTCTCATTGATGAGGGCGATGAGGTAACAATATGCATATTCAGAAAATTATATTGTTAGTAGAGAATAAAAAAGACACTGTTTATGTTCAATATGTGGTATCAGAATGCATCTTTTTCCCTTTTTTGCGCAGGTGATTATTGTGGAGCCATTCTTTGACTGTTATCAGCCAATGGTAATGATGGCGGGTGGAACAGCTGTATATGTGCCCCTTAAACCAGTATGTTCATATATCACGTGACAAGATCTGTTTGCTTTATCTGAGATTAAAATGTTTGTTTTGAATAATATTAGCTGTGTATTAACAGAGAGAAGGCTGTGGTCCTGTTCTATCCAGTGCTGACTGGGTGTTGTCTCCTGAAGAGTTGGCGAGTAAATTTAGTCCTCGTACCAAAGCCATTGTCATTAACACTCCTAATAACCCTCTTGGCAAGGTGAGTCAGTCACCAACAAACGGAGGACAGTTTTACCCATCGTTGTCCAATATATTCTTATACACTGCAAAAAATGGCTAAAAAAAATTAAATTAAGTGCATTTTGCTTAAAACAAGTAAAATTATCTGCCAGTGGGGTAAGTAAAATATTCTTAAAACAAGAGTATTTTACTTACCCCACTGGCAGATAATTTTACTTGTTTTAAGCAAAATGCACTTAATTTAGATTTTTTTTCCCCCCCTAGAAACAAGACTAAATATCTTAAGTCAATTGGCTTATCTAGTAAAAGTATCTTGATTTAAGAATTTTTAGCTATTTTGACTAGAAACAAGACAAAAATACTAAGTAAGATGAGCCATTTTTTGCAGTGTATGAGTGAATTTCATGAAAACTCTCAAGAAAATCAAATCAAAATAATGAAATTAAAATTGTTTTAAAAAGAAATCTGTTGTAACATCATAAATGTCTTTACTGCCACTTTTGATCAATTTAATGCATCATTGCTGAATAAAAGTAGTAATTTCTTTAAAAAAAAATCTTACTGACCCCAAATCTTTGAATGGATATGTAATTAATATAAAAATTTAAACTGAGTTGAAATGACTTTTCAGGTCAGTGTGTACAATTTTTACCACAAATTCAGCCTAACCCTAACTGGTTTCTTGCAGGTCTACCAGCGGGAGGAACTTCAGATGATTGCTGACTTATGCATTAAACATGACGTCATTTGCATCAGCGATGAGGTGTACGAGTGGCTCACATATGATGGAACAAAACATGTGAAAATCGGTAAGTGCATGACTGTGCATGTAATGCGATTAATCACAGTTTTGTGGACTTTTAAAGTAACATACCTTTTTTTTTGACAGCCAGTCTGCCAGGTATGTGGGAACGCACTGTCACCATTGGGAGTGCAGGCAAGACTTTCAGTGCCACAGGATGGAAGGTGAGCTGGTCGAATTCAACAGCATTTGTTTCTTGCGATGTTATATCCCTCTGTTGACTGGCTGGAAGTTTCATGGTGATAAGGTTCAGTATGCATACACAGCATGCAGGTCATTAAATTACTCTATTATTTTAATGTAGGTGGGTTGGGCAATGGGATCAGGACATATCCTAAAGCACTTAAAAACCGTCCATCAGAATTCAGTGTATCACTGTGCCACAGCTGCCCAGGTAAAACAATGCTCCTTTTAGGCGTAAAGTGTGTGTAATTTGTTTTCAGTGGACTGACATTGTCTAATGTTGTTTTTAAGGAGGCCGTAGCAGTAGGTTTTCAGAGGGAGTATGATGTATTTGGCACAGAGGAAAGCTATTTCCACCAGTTACCCATACATCTTCATGAAAAGCGTCTGAGGCTGGCAGATTGTTTGAAGAGCGTTGGCCTAAAACCTATACTACCCCAAGGAGGATACTTCATGATCGCAGATATCTCAAATCTTAGTAAGTAACAGAGAAAAAAAGGTAGAACAAAGTATTAAAGCAGGAACTTGGATTAATTTATGGATTATACAAATATAATTTTTATATCTGAGAATTCCAGAGATGAGGTGCTTTTGTCCTCTCTTGAGCTCTTGTTTATGGTAATAAACACATCATTTATTGTTCCCACACTTTTTTTCCAGGTTTATTGTACAAAGATATTTAAAAATCATTTTATAGGGATTGCATTTACGTAGAGCCATTTCTAGCTGGTAAAATAATGTAGCACTGGCTGGAAAGTAAAATATATATATATATATCTGTTATAGAATTATAAATAAATATCTATTACACTGTAAAAAAAAAAAAATCAAAAGTTGAGAAAACATAAAAGCTTAAGGCAACCAACTTCAGGAGATTTTTGAGTTTTCTCAACTTGTTGTTTTCAGTTTATACAACAGAAAGTTGAGAAAACTAAAAAATCTCCTGAAGCTGGTTGCCTTAAAGTTTTCTCAACTTTTGATTTTTTACAGTGTATAGAATATTTATATAATTTAGGGTTTTATTAATTTCCAGAAAAAGTTTAAAATTCCCTGATATATCCAGGTTTTCCATGAGTAGGGGAATCTTCATAACATGAGAAATCAAAGTATAAAAAAGCTACACTGTGTGATAGCAATTATAATTGTTTTGACATGATTATAACAAAGTTTGTTTTTAATATTGCCTTTTGTTTTTAAATGTTTTTCTACAAGATGTTGACCTTACTGACCCTAGTACTAAAGATGAACCCTATGACTACAGATTTGTGAAATGGCTCATAAAAGAGAAGGTAAGCCAAAACATAGCATTTACAATGGGTTATAAAATCTTCTCATATAGTGACATCCGTGAGGAAAATAAGTTATAAAAATGTTCTACACTTCTGAATAGGGACTGGCCACTATCCCTGTGTCTGCATTCTACAGCCCGGAACACAGAAACGAATTCCAGAAATACATCCGATTCTGTTTCGTTAAGGTAATTTTAAAGGGGTCATATGATGCTATTTTAAAGATCATTATTTTGTGTATTTGGTGTAACAGAATATGTTGACATGCTTTAATGTTCAAAAAACACATTATTTTTCAAATACTGTACATTATTGTAGGTCCTCTATGCCCCGCCTCTCTCAAACGCTTCGTTTTCAACAAAGCCCCCTCCTTTGACAAGCGCAGTCTGCTCTGATTGGCCAGCTGACCCAGTGCATTGTGATTGGCCGAACACTGCAAGCACGCGTCGGAAATGTAACGCCCCTTACCATAATCGCGAACGTCAGCTTTCAAAGTAAATATCAAGACAGTTAATAAATGTCTTAATTTTACCATCAGTTCAAGCCCGAAAGGGCAACAGAGTCGCGTGACAGACACAGTGATGATGCAGTACACAAGCCGCGGTTAAGACAGCTGACGTGCTATGATTTCTGACAGACAGTTCACTCTCCTGTGAATCCGGGCTGTTCCCCACACACACACACACACACACACACGAACGAACGATGCGCAAAACTCCGCATTTGAAAAGTCAATAGCAAATACTTAAACTAATAACAAAACAGCAGCTGATTCAGAAGCGCCAGATTGTCATAGCAAAGTCAGAATTACCTCCTCTCCTAGGTTCACAAAACGGTCGTCCATAAAATGCATTGCTGTTCTGTTGTAAGTAATCTTAAAGATTCCTAAATGCATGAAAACTTGAAATCGCATCATATGACCCCTTTAACACAAATGCAGAACATAAAATTTCAAACATTCTAAAAATAAAGTTCTTTAATTATTTAGGATGTTAATGTTGTTAGGGTTTTTTCAATAACAATAACATTAAGTATATTTAATTTATTATCTTTTTAGAAATTGCTGCATTGTGAATTTTATGCTTTAGAGACTCTTATTAAAGGCACAATATGTAATTTTCGCCGCTAGAGGGCACGTATTTTAAAATAGACAAAGGCGTAGTTTGATGACGCCGTGACTGTGGAATCATGGGAGTTGTTCTTCATCCCCACAGCCGATGCAATCCGACGGGACTCGGGCAGAAATCATGTTCATGGATGAGCTAATGATTTATTAACGTAGTAGAATGAAGCAGGGTGAGGCTGAAAGCCGTCGAAGCGAAACGAGGCCGCTGAACGAGCGTGACACACGTACGGCTCGAAAGCCGTATTTTATTATGCCACAGTCGACCGCTTCCGCTCCTTCCGGTCGTGCGTATGTGGGGGGGGAAAAAGCAGCGCTGTTTTATCATACTAGATACATTTGAAAGTTCTGTTATAATGCTACTCTGTGCGGTCATCACCGGTCTATTAAAACGCACAACATATTCAAGCGTCTTTGGAGTTTACATGTTTTCTACAAAACTAAACCGGAAATCGAGGGGTTATGACGTCATTGGCAGGCGACACAATGACACTATGGACACGGTCCGTGTCACTAGTTAAAATTGCTTATTTCTCTGGATTTAAACATTCGTCGAAACATTTGATATAATGTAAGTACACAAGTCAGCAAAATATATAACACTGTTCTAGTGGTTTTTGGATATTTTAATAAAAAAATCTTACATATTGTGCCTTTAATTTTAGTTATCACCATTAAAAGTCCTTTTACTTTAAATTACTTTTAATAAACTAATGATAAGCCAACTGTTACTTAATCACATGAGCTAACATGGAAACTTTGACCTTGAAAGCCTTATGTAAGTGAATAGGACATCATGATACTAAATCAGGAAAAGTGATTTCCATTGTGATCTGTTCACCTTGTTAAAATGCTGTATATTATTTAATTCATATTTTTGTCAACATTAATAGGAGGACACAACCCTGCAAGCAGCCGAGGACATACTGAGGCAGTGGAGTGACAGCAAATGAAAATGACAAATTTTGACAGTACAGGCCTTGCACAGACTGAAAAACCTGAAACGCAAGAGATCTTACAGCATAACAAATCTAAAATGAGACTGGTTTGTAGCAGTTTGGGATATGAATAGTTATTAAAAAGAAAAGTGTTTGTTATTAGGCTTAAGATTGACTATATGCCAGACGAACAGATGGTGCTAATTGCATCACAAAACAGAGGTATGAAAATCTTGCATGGCATGTGTGGTTAAAAAAAGAAATGAGAATCATTGTTCCCATGATAACAATCAATATAATGTCATTTTAGAATCAGTATAATTTTATGCTAAATACACATGAGTGGGTGCAATCTTTTCAGCCGGTTAAGCGTTATTGTTCTTTGATTGTTATGTTCTCTCGCTTTTTTTTTTTTTGGCATTGTATTGCCACATATTTCCTTCCTCTCTGGATTATACCTTGAACTGCATCACTGCCTGTTATTACTGGATCCACTCCGAGTTACAAATGACACATTAATAGATTTCATTTCATGTTAAACTGTTTTATTAATTTGTACAATGTAAGTGTTATGTTGAGACACTTTCATAAAAAAAATATTGCAAACTACCTCGTTCATCTGCATGTAAATCTAAAGGAACTTTCTTTGTGGATGTTCTAAACACTCACCAATTACGCAAGTTTTTTTTGACACTTTTCTGCAGGAGAAAGCCATAAAGTGTCATTTTCACACACTGCTCTTCTGTGGTAAATTTGAGTTTTTATAGCACACTAATTTCTAGCATATAAAATTAAAGCATATAGCCTTTATTATTATAATTGATCATTGGGTAAATGAAAAAGCAATATTCCCATCAATATGGCCAAATCCACTTCAACCTAAAAAGAAACAAGGTCATAGTGGGGAAGTGGTACAGTTCCCTTTTCATCAAAAAATAAATTGGACCCTTTCCATTAATAATATACATTAAAATGTACATAAACACTTACTACAATTAGAATGTGAATTATTGAGAGGTATATTGCTGAAATTTACTCAGAGGTCATAAACAATCTACTCAATAATAGCAAAAATTTCAGGAGAAAATGTATGTTCTGTTAGATTTCAGGAATAAAAATGTGACTTCAAAACTTCTCTCTGTATAGACTTTTTACTATGGATACATCTCATAGTGTGACTTTGTTTCTCGTTTTTAACTATGATATTTTCACTACTCATGCAACCTGACAAATTCTGATAAAAAAATAATAGGAAAAGTTCTCAGATGTGTTTTGTAGGAAGGGATGATACGAGGACTCAATTGGCAGGAAGAATGGGCTTATTATTAATAATAAAAATAAAATGCAACAAAAACTACCCCATAGGGGAAAACAGGCAGGCAGGATCAGGAAACAACAAGGCTATATTAGACAATGAACTAGCAGAAAACTGCAAACACAAGGAGAATAAATAGGGAGCAAACAAGGCAGGTAACAAAGGAAACACAGGTGGAGCAACTGAACCAATAATCAGGTAACAAGGTGGGCAGGGATAGACAATAGACATGAGAGCACATGGCACACAGAAACAAACAAAACAAAGCCATGTGCTCACACAAAACAAGACATGAACAGGCAGCATGATAAAAACTCATGAGCTGCGTGTTCACACAAAACGGGACAAAAAAGCACACGGCCGTGCTAACACGAACCACGTTGCACACAGAACATGACAACACAAGAGTGCCTGGCTAATGAAGACATAAACCAAGCACTCACAAGACAAGAGTGCACGCTGAGTGAATGAATACACAACTCGTGAAAGACATTAAATGTGAGTGTCCAAGCCCCGGCACGGAACCGAAACCACGCTTGAAGCTGCGCACTCCCACGAAAACAAGACATGACAGGAGTGCTCTGTCACAAAACCATGAATAAACTAGACAGAAGTGACAGAACCCTGACAAGTAACCTCTGAAGTAGATAAACAGAGTGATGAGATAAAACACCACACTGTGATTAGGTGTGTCTTAGCATGAGCAAGCATCATTGCGACATAGTTTTCTCAGTTACTTATCATTAAAATTTTGTGACGAAAACATTCCAAACCCAGAAAAGAAAGACTAGTTTATCTGTGAAGTCTCTTCCTTTTTTGTCATCCTGTGAATCCTATATATTTATACACATAGACTTGCAAATTCTATTGTGACTTCTGGGGGATATGCTCCTGTATGATAGTGATTCCATTCTTGTACCTAATTTATAAGTGGTTGAATTTACGATGTTAAATCTCACCTTGTGAACATTAGCAGAATCAGAACGTAGTCAAATACGCTAACACTCACAACTTAGACCAACAGCAGCTAAACACAGAATAATGACACTACTGCCTTCTGTAGAGCTGCTTATAGATGAATTGGTGAACTTTGCAGCATTGATAGATACTGAACTAAACTGAGCCTGAATAAAGACACTATCTTCTGTAGAGCTGCATTAAAGCTCAAATTGAATTCATTTAATAAATAATGATTTTTTTTTAACACTGACATTGTTGCTTTTTAACATGAAGCTACTTCAAAACATTGCCTGTAGATGTGTGTACACTAATAAAAATAAAGGTGCTTAAAAGGTTCTTCACAGCGATGCCATAGAAGAACCATTTTTGGTTCCGCAAAGAACCATTGAGTCAAAGGTACTTTAAAGAACCATCTCTTTCTTACCTTTTTATAATCTGAAGAACCATCTTTTGCCGCAAAGAACCTTTTGTGAAACAGAAATGTTCTACAGGTGTTAAAGGTTCTTTATGGAACTATTTAGAAAAAGGTTATTCTATGGCATCGTGAAGCACCTTTATTATTAAGAGTGTATATGTGTTTTGGCGCTAGGATAGCCTATATGACACTACTTAGGACAAGCGGTTTGGTTTGGAGAATGGATGATGGATGAATATTGCACAAAAGAAAACACTTCCACTGACTTTGAGTTAGTTTAATTCTCAATAATGTTGCAATATTAAAAGAAAAAGTGCAATGTTACAAAACCTAAGTTGACCAACTTCCTTTTACCTCAGAGGAAAGAGAAGGTGATTTCTTGAATATTGTCACATAAGAAAAAAATGAAACAAAAACTTTTAAGTCTGCAAATACACTATACTGATGTTAAAAAAAAAAGTATTGTGAGCAATAACAAAGTTAGGTGTCAAACCTCCAATTTTCCACAAAGATCAACAAACAAGACATCATCAGGGAGTCGAAATTCGGCACACACCTGGCACAAGATCCAGCACAGTTACAGAGAAAAAAGGATAACAAGGGCTGGTTGATTTCACTTAAATTACTTTTAAATGTTTAATTTTTCAAAAATGTTTGTTAAATGAGTTTAAATTTAGACAATATTGTATACACATTCAAATGGTATAAAATATCTTGTATTAAGAACTGTATAGGCCTACTCAAAAAAAATAAAGATATGATGTAGGCCTATAATGAAAATGAAGATATCATGTAAACATGTTGTGTTGTATACTGTACAACGATTTAGAGGATTGGGTTAGTCTGTAAATACTAATTCAAATATGAGGATCTTTGTCAGGTTTGTTGAGAAGGTGCCATGGTCCTCGGGGTCCCCTGCTCTGCACATTTTCCATGTCTCCCTTATTTGACACACTAGATTCAGATCATCAGCTTGTTAGGAGAGAGCATTCAAGTGCTTGAATGGTGACAGAGAGCCAGCCACCATTCAAGCACTTAAACGCTTTGCCTTGCCATTGCTATTTTTTAACCCACTTTAAGAATCACTGGGTTAGCCCAGCATGTGTTCTGTCCCATATTCACCCAGCCTCTGGGCTAATATATATATATATATACCGGTATATGGTGACCGTGATTTCACCAAGTACAACATGTTCCTGGATCAACATCCTTGTTGATCCTGGAACAACATTCCTATCAACCAATCAGAATTGAGGGATACGTTTTCAGGAAATATCTGGTTTAGGCTTATAATCAGGGTTAGGTGCTTCTACACCCTTGGTAATCAGCTATCCTTTCACACTGATTTTAGGAATAAATTATGGGTAGGGTTAGATTTAGGGGTAGGGATTGGGTTAAGTCTATATTTTTGGACAGTTATGTTGATCCAGGATCAACAAAAGATGTTGATCCAGGAACATGTCTTACTTGGCAAAATCACGGCGACCACACACATATATATATATATATATATAAATAAATTGTTTTAGGAGCCACAGTTATTAATTTTTTACTCTTAAAGTGACAGCACCCTTTAACTTGCATATTATGAATCACCAAGAAACATGGGTTCAACTAAAAATCATTGTTAGTGTTTTACTGAAGAAAGTGTGTATTTGTGTTATGTATAAACATTGAAAACATTTAGTAGTTTTGCAAAGGGGTAGTTCACCCAAAAATTTTAAAATTGCACATTACACACAAAAAAAGATTTTTTTCCTGCCACTCTTAGACATTGTTTCTGAGTGAGCCATCCCTTTAACTCCACCCAGTATTCCTTAACATTGCAAAACACACACACAAATGCACCGGTCAGACCTTTCTATAAAAGAGAGCTGAACACTTGCAAACATCACTGAGAGCAGCTTCTTGGTTTTGAATTGACATGGCGATGCAGAACTACCCAGCACCCGGGGAGAGCATGAAGCAGGACGACAGAGTCTTCACTGCCCAGCCAGTAATACTCTCCATGCCTGACCAAAAAGTCAATGATGATATCATTTTTTCCACATTCAATCTTCACTTCTGTAACCCTTGCTGTCTTGGGTTTGGGGCCTTTTACAACTCAATAAAGGTAAGCAATATACATATATGCAATTATATAACTGTCCTGCTGCTTTACAAATACCTGAAGCTTATCATATATTTTTTTGTGTCAGGCCAGGGACAACAGATTGCTTGGAGACATCCCAATGGCACGGTCTTATGGCACTAGAGCTCGCAAACTAAACATTGCTGCAGTCATTATTGGTTCCATCTCTATACTTATCGTCATCATTGTCCTTGCCAAGTCATTTGGTCCAGTCGTATCAAGTCATCATCGTTTTTAACTTCTTCAAATAATTAAATGTTTGAATGTTTTTATTTGCCTTTCATTAAAACATTTATATTTGTTGAAACTTTGGTTTGTTCTTGTTTGGTCATTGTCATATAAATATAGCATATACAAATTAGGGCTGCACGATAAATCGCATGCGATATTTAACGCGCATCTTGTCAGTAAAGCCATTCTGTAATCAGCGGTAAATCTCCATCACGTGCGTGCTTTCACATTGAGCAGCATTAACTACACCGAGCCGTTGTTCACAGACGAGCTGCGCAAAATGCAGCCCTAATACAAATATACAAATACATATACACGTTAGTTGTATATGCAGTTCAGCTGTGTATTTATTTATTTATTTATTTGAACCTGTGATATATAACAATATATATTTTTATCACTTTTTTTTTTATCAATTTCACATATCTTTGCTGAATAAAAGTATTAATTTCTTTCAAAAAAGACAGAACAAAATATATTTGAACGGTATAGCCTATAACAATAATAAATTAACAACAACAACAACATAAATAAATAAATAAACAAATAAATAAATAAATAACCTTTCCAGGACACATGCAGGGATGTTGTGTGTGTGGTCTTAAACAAAACTTACATTTAGCCAGTTAATCACTTATTCCTGCTATAATAATAATAATAATAATAAGAAGAAGAAGAAGAAGAAGAAGAAGGTTGATAATATACCAGACGAAGAAGAATGATAATATACCATTATTATTATTATTATTATTATTGTTGTTGTCATATAACATTATTATTATTATTAATAATTATTTTTTAGAATTTAATTTTAATATATTATTTTTAGTTAATTAGTTCATTAATTTAGTTAATAATTAGTTAATATTTTTTCACTTATGTATTAAACATTAATCCAAGCGTTTGGAGCCTGTTGTTTTGGCGCGCTCTTCTGTACCGGTAGTTGTCAGTAGAGACGCTGCTGTCTCTCTCGCTCTCTTTCAGGTAGGGCCTCAGAGCGAAGATGGCGACGGACAAACAGAAACATGAAGGCAGGGTAAAAATCGGACATTATATTCTCGGAGACACCCTAGGAG